TAACAAACCTAGGCTTAGCTGAAATAACCAAACAACCGAGCTCTATTTCTGTAACACACAGAAAAATACTCTACCTCTGGTTTATTTATTTATGTACTTATTAAAGACAAAGCAGACACATAAGTACATAAATCTTTTAAATTCAGATCTGGCCAATACTGACAAAATGATAATAATAATAAAGAGATTAGTGACAAAATAAGAATTTAACATGACTACTCCAAAAATGCATGCAGGTAGAGAAACTATAGACTGTAATTATCGTCCAGAAGAGACATTATGGCAATGTGTGAGCTGTGCTTAACTGGAATCGATCAGCTAGGACTCCTCAGGCTTAGCTCAAATTTGCCGACGCATAGCAAAAATAAATAAATAAATAAATAAAAGACAGTTCTAGAGAAATGAGATGAGATGAAAACTTCATCTTTCCACAATTGAGGGATACCAGGGAAGTTCTCTCCGTACCCCCAAGACCGAGATTCATTATTCCAAGTTAAACATCAGGACTCATTATGCTACCGAGAATTACTTAGCAACACGTAACTATAATACAAAATTTTAATAGAAATAGTCATATACAATGTATCCTGGTGCTGACAGCATTCATCACATAAAAAAAAAACAAGTATGGGAAGCCGTAAGTACCTATAAAATGTTCCAAGAGAAAATTTTGCCATTTGTTCTGTGTCCAAGACTGATATTCATTCCTGTTACCTGAATCAAGTTTGTTGACAAAATATTACAAGTTTATTCATATTAATTACAATTATAAATAAGCAGAATAGGCCTTTCAATAACAGGCCCAATAAGTTAACTAGCTGGCTGTTGCACAAGTAGAGAGAGTCTTTATACTAAAAACTGCTTACAGAAATCTGAGCCCGCACGTGAATGGCAGGATGGCTTCAGATGCACAACGACAGGAAGACAGGAAGTGTCAGGGAGACAGAAAATGACTTCAGGAAACAACTTTTGTCCACCAATACTGGTCAGAGGGGAACAACCCTCCCTTGAGCACGGCAGGCAGTTCTAGCTGTGCAGCCCCACCATGCACTGCTGGAAGCCACAGGCAGGCAGGCACTGACCAGGCACACGAGGGTTGGAAACAGCATTGTCCTCAGTCTTTTGGGTTTTTCGCATCTACTTCGCAGATATTCCACCAAGGAAAATCGGTTATGGGGAGATGAGTACCCTGATTTGCCAGCTTAGAAGGCCGAGTAATCAGTTTGGTAGGAACAACAAAGGCAAACCTTGCTCATCACCTAGGGGTTGGTCATAGTCCCTGTGTCTTCCTAAAGCAACCGGATCTGCAGATTAGGGCAAAACTCATCTCCAGCCAGGGAAACTCTTGCATGGCCACTAACCATCTTAACTTGTCACATATTTTATGTTAGAAACCTTAAGCTAGTTATGTGTTACGTTGGCTTTCTCATTCTCAAGGATGAGCTAACAACAGGACCTTAAATCACAATAAATAAGACTGCTGTGCAGGGGCAGAACGTGCCGCAGCACGGGCAGAGCATCACACCTTGCGAGCAACGCTAGGTTCAGCTCTGCAGCCGTGCAACACCACGCCAGCGGCGTCTCTGCAGCAGTGCAGTGCCAGCAGCACCTCTGCAAGTGCCAGCTGCACCTCTGCAGCAGTGCCATGCCAGCGGTGCCTCTGCAGCCACTTGTTTGCCCGTCTCATACATACTGTGCCGGCCAACTCACCTCTGGACTACTCTGGTAAGAAGCCATGTGTTGATTTCTAAACACAAAGAGGGCGCAGGCAGTGAATATCACTGATACTTCCAAGGTTGCAAACAGCTGCAGAAATATTTTTCAAAATGCAGCTAATCTTCCAAATGTACCAAAATCATAAATGGGCATTTCAAAAAACTACACAGTAGCGAGACACTGAGGTTTCCTTCTTTGGGAGGAATAAAGGCTGAATAAATCACTTGTATCACAGAATGATTTAGACTGGAAGCAAACTTCCAGTCTGAGCCCTGCACAAAGCAGCTCCAACTAAATCAGGTTATTCAGGGAGGAACCTGCCAAGCTGGGCTTTTATTTTCTCTAAGGATGGAGACTCCACCACCTCTCTGGGCAGCCTGTTCCAATATCCCATCACCCTCATCATGAAAATACTTTTCAGCTTGTATAACCAGAACTTCCTATTTTTACCCCAAGCCTGTTGCCTACTGTCCTATCACTGTAAACTTGCAATATATATATATCATATATATATGTTGCAATAATATAATTGAATAGCTGCATCAGTATAAATATTCTCTAACTAATTTTCATTCCTGTCACTTAAAGCTGCAATGCAACTGAAAAAAAAAAAAAAAAAAAAAGATATGCTGTGCACAAGAATCTCCTTGGTCATTCGCAGGTCCTTTCCTAAGCTGGTTGAGAAGAATTGCACATACAGATAAATCTCATATATTAGACTCTGCCTATCGCCCCTCCCACTAGAGGGTAACAGTAAGAAGGAAAGAAAGTTAAACAAGCTGCTTTAAAAGGTCAGTTAGGAGAACATGCTCATAAAGGTGAGCCAGTTTCAGGACTCAAATTTGATTTTCAGTGAAATACTCTGAGAAACTTGGCTGAGTCTGGGTTTAGAGCAGCAGTGTGGTTTGCAAGCACTTTCCCCGAGGATCCCAACTGCCTACATCCTGGTTTGGTTTCCTAAGATCTTTTAACATATATATATACACACACACTAGATTTCTTCTAGAGAAAGGTGAAAAACAGGCTTTCATCTACATAACACAAAATGCACTTCACCTCCAGCCAAGCACAAAAGCCTGAACCAATGACTGGTCTTATGAACAGCTTCAAACAACTTGCACAAGAGGAATATCTGCTCCAGAGCAGCAGGCTCCATCTGATCCACGGTAACCCTGGAACCACATCGATACAGGGGCCTCGCTCAGCACTAACTGCATCTGCTATTTGACTGCTGATGGACCAAATTCACTGTTAGCGTGAGCACAGTCACAAATGCTGCTGAAAACGGCATCATCACAGAGCCAGATCCTTTCTGGCTGATTTCTTTAAGTAGTTACAAAACCAAAAGTATTGTTTAAGATTGAATAATGAGGTATAAAGACATCACAAAAAAAGGGGGACACAGAGAACTCAATCAGATTGATTCAGTTGATATTTAAAAGGACAGCTAAAATATTGACGTCTATAAATATATCAGAGTGAACACTCAGACTGAAAGTCACCCAAATTATAGGACAAAGCTGATAAAAAACAAAACAGCTAGAAATTACTCAGAAGGAAGTTTAGGCTGGAAATTACGCTATCTCTAATAACCAGAGCAGGGTGAATATGGAACAATGCTCCAACAGGAATAGTCAGCGAAAAAAATCTAGGAGAGTCTTAAAAAGAGGCTTTCTCAGCTTGATGTGATGACTTCCAGCAGCAGGCACCTTATTTTACACGTCTCAGAAAGTCATTCTGCTCCTAGAACCACGAGGCAGACATGCTCACCTGGGCGGGCTGCCCAATACACACGCTGCCAGACGAGCACCGAGGGGAACATTTCTACACGTGACCTCAGGTTAGAGGCACCCGGCGAAACACAGCGGCAGCTGAGCAGCCCTGGGCTATCCGTATAACTCTTTATTTTTTTTTCCTTTTTGTTGACTAAATCCACCACGTACGTGCTGCTGTGGCACGTATGTGCCAGCCTGTGTGACCTTCCAACCTCCACCAACTACAGCAGCAGAGAGAACACCAGAACTCACTCACACTGCCAGGCACTGCAACAGTCACATTATTCTCTGTGTCATTTGACTTCTTTTGGAAGCTCCCACTCCCTCCTGCCACCACTTTCTAAGGGATCATGTCCAAAGCCAAAGGCTCAGCTTGAAACCAGAGAGGCAGCAGCCTCCTCATGAAGTGGGCGCCTCTCTCATAACATTACCTTCAGAGGGGTGTCCGCCTCTCTGAGCCTGTGCTGTGAATTTACAGCTCTTCAAAGAGCACGCTAAAAAGAAACATGTTAAGTGGAGCACTGGTAATTATACTGCCATGCTCAGTTTCTAAACTACCTGTGAGAAATCATCCGAATCAGAAGGCAAAGATAACCAATAGAGTCTCTTTTCTTCGGGCTCTTTTCTATTAAAGTTAACACATTACAAGAAGCTGTCTTGCTTCAAGGTTTAAGAAGAATACCTTTTATTATTCATAAAATCTTTCTAAAGCAAGTTACTCTATAATGAAAAAATGAGCTGTCATTAAATCAACACTGATGCATATTGTTCACTGTCTCTAAACACTACCACAGCCTCAAATAGATTTGTCCAAGCAAACATCATAATGGCTAAAAATTGACATTTTTGCCGTAGCCCATGAAAACGCAAATGTACCAAATAATCCCTATCACCTTTAAAATAAATGAAAAAGCATAGTCACAGGTAAGGAAGGCCTTAGAAAGAAATCTGGAAATAACCAGGTAGTAGCAAATGAGAGGGATGTCTAAAACCCTTCCAGAGGGACCAAGTAGAGGGAGAGAGACTGCCAAGAGAGTCCAAGTAGGCAGGAAAGAGCCTTTCTTCACACTGGAGGCACAGCACAAATAAGAAGAGGAGAGGAGCTGGTGGTGGTGTTCTCCACTGTCAAACTGACAAATTAATAAGATAACTGTGGTAGCAACATTTTAAAAAGTCTCCAGAGACATGCCCATACTATTGCAAGCAAAAGGATTACAGCAATTGGGATATGAAAGCAAAAAGGCCTGGGTAAGAATATAACCTACCCTCAAAGCCTACAGAACTTCCCTCTTCTCCCATCAAACAATAAACATTTTATCACAACTTATGGTTTAGGCCAAATTATTTGAGCAGTGAGCATTCATTTTAACTCCTAGAAGGTATCTGCCTTTCCAATAAGGAGCAAATGATTTCCAAATCTCTGTAAGGAACAGTAAAGCACCAGGCAACACTATCCATCAGGGTCACTCCGGCACCAGCCCGTGCAGTCGGGAAGAACGCACCACCTACCCTCTTTGGAACAAATCCACATTGAAGAATTTGTGGAGCTCCACGGAGAATTCTACCATAGCCTGAACTTCGCTCATGTTTATGAGGATGAAGAAGCCAAAACTTGTCAGCACCTTAGTTACTGGAAACAAACAGAAAACAAACTTTTTAGAACACAAGTGGGGAATAACGCCTGTCCAGTCCTTCCAAGCTCCCTCTCCCCCCCAAAAAAAAATTATATGCACAGCTTCCTCAAATAATTATCCTGGGATAAACAGGAATACACCCATGTGCTCAAACCTACCCACCACCATGCATAACATTCGACTCCTTTGCCACAAAGACACCAGAGAAGTTATCACAGGCAGGACTGTCCTCGGAGGGATTGCAGGAGGGCAGGAGTGCAGGAGGAAAACATGCCCATCCTTAGCTAATCCCTGTTAGCTGCGAAGTGCTAAATCTCACTGTCTACTTTGCAACCACAGGCTGGCACTTTACTGCTGAGTTTCAACTGCCTGCTGATACTTAAATTAAAATCCCGCAGACT